AAATTCTGTAATGAGCTTTATTATTTATGAAAATAATTGAATTCCTAGAAAGAATTTTATTAATTACGAAAATAATTGAGGGGCTGGATGCTATAATGTGTTACGCGCCATGTTAAGTGAATGGCGCGTAACACATTATAGCATCCAGCCCCTCAATTGAATCCCTTTAAAAATTTTATTATTTATGAAAATAATTGAATGATTGCGAAGAAATTTATAAAAAAATTTGTAAATAATTGAATTGCTGTGAATTTTTTATTATTTTATAAAAATAATTAAACGCTTGCGTAGAATTTTATTAAAATTTTGTTTTAAATAATTAAATTCTATTGGATCATTTTATTAAAACAGAAGATATTAAAAATCATTAAATTGAAGAGAATGTTTGAAAATAATTGAAATTTTTTCAAGAATTTTATTAAAATTTTTGCAAATAATTCAATTTCAGAGAACAATTTAATTATTTCTAAAGATAAATGAAATTTTGACGAGAATTAAAAAAATTGTTTGAACATAATTGAATTTTTGCAAAGAATTTTATTACTTTTGAAAATAATTGAATTTCTGCAATAATTTGTAACTTCTTCAAAATTAAATTTTTTTTAGTGTTTATTTGTTTATTTATTTATTTATTTATTACATTTCTCCAGAGTTAACTAAAATTTTTCTATAAATCCATTATTTCTAATAAATTTTGAAAAAGTTTTTTGAGAATTCTCAAATTCATTTGTTTTTAACTGAAATTCGTTTTTAATTTTAAAATTAAAAATAATTGAAATTCTGCGATAAGTAGGTATAATTTATGAAAATAATTAAATTCTAAAAAAAATTTTTATTATTTAAAAAAATAATTGAATCTTTGTAAAAATGTTATTTATATCAAAATAATTAAATTATATTGCGAAGAAATTTATTGAAAATATTTAAATAATTGAATTTCTGTGAAATTTTGATTATTTTATGAAAATAATTAAATGTTTGCGTAGAATTTTATTACAATTTTTTTAAATACTTGAATTCTTTTGGAAAATTTTATTAAAACAGTAGATATTGAAAATCATTGAATGGAGGAAAATTTTTCAAAAAATAATTGAAATTTGGACAAAAATTTTATTAAAAGTTTTAAAAATAATTGAATTTTGGATAAGAATTTTATTGTTTATAAAGATAATTAAAATTTTGAAGAGAATTTAAAAGAATTTCTGGGAAGAATTTTATTAATTTTTCAAAATAATTTATTTCTGCAATCATTTGTAATTTCTCTAAAATTCTCCTAATTATATCGTACAATTTACGAACTTTTTGTCCTTTTTTAATCAAATTACAAACTTTACGAACCAAACAATAATATAATGTTAAAAAAATTATTTCACGAAATTTATATTTTTTCTAATGAAAAATCACTAAAATTTAGTAGAATTCATGTAGAAATTCTGTAGAATCGTTCTCTGGAAATTCCATACAATATTCACTAGAATTCATATCTAGAATGATTTATATAGAAAAATTCTAGTGAAATTCTATAAGAACTTTTTCAGCTGGATAACCATTTGTTATGATAAAGAAAAAACAAACAAATATATTTCAAAATTTATCTTTTCCTTTGCGGACGAAACAATATTAAAACCATACGAATGCGCCAAAAAAATTGCCCACAAGTAAATATTTTTGTTTTCTTTTCTAAAACTACAGTCTGAAATAGAAAACCACATTAATTATAATAATCTCCTCGAGTATAAGCCAGAATCTTTCGAAACACACATGGTTCTCTATTTCATTTTCACAAATGGAAACAGATAGTCCCACGAGGTTGATGATGAAAATCGATCCCGCGAGGTGTATGAGCTCAATATTCTGGTTATAAATTATTGCGGTTCATTAATACCATTGTACTTTGTTGTAAGCTCTACACACACACAACCATCAAAATATATAAAAGGACAGTAGAGAAAAAAAGAGCAAAGGCTCGTGTGAGAGAGGGTTTCGCATTGAAATCGTGAAAGTTTCGACCTGTCGGGTCGATCTTCCCCGCGGGAGTGAGAAACGCGCGGGAATATAACAACGAAAACAAAAATATAAAACTAAAGCCAGACAAACACACACACACACAAGTGGGAAAAGGTCCCACGCCTCGTCCACTAGAAAGTGCGGACCAACTTGTCCCGTGTAAATCGTGCTCTGTTTTCAGGTGCGCCGCCAAAACGGGTTTTGTCCTTTAAAAAAACAAAAAAAAAAACAAAAAAAAAGAATAAATAAAATAAAAAAACAAAAAAAAAGGACATCGACATTTCATCGTGTGCTGCACGAACATGCACGAAAATTTGTTCTTGTAAACTCGAAATAAATTTTACTCGCACAATAATTATTTTCACTTGTCGGCAAATTTTTCTTTTCGCCTCACAAAAGAATGAAATGAACAAAAATTGAAAACAAGACTTTCAAAAAGCTATTGCTTTTTGAAAGACTTGTTTTCAATTTTTAAGCAGTTTTTAATGAACAAAAAGAAATAAAAACATAAGCAAATCGATAATAATTTAGTTCCAAAGCCTGTTTTCTATTTTTCATAAACCAGTTTTGATCAACTTCTGTTGGATAAACAAAAGAAAGTTGCAACAAAATTTGTTGCAAAAAGGACAATTTTTTTAAGGGACCTAAAAGTTCTTTTTCTTTTTTCTTTAATTATACTTTTCATAAACGTTTGAATGTTCAAATAAATGAATTTTTTTTTCTGTCTAAAAATTTTAAAATTTCAAAATTCAATTATTAGTTAAATTTGCATGTTTTCGTAGTTATTTATTTACTTTCTTAATTTTTAATTAGTAAAACTTTTACTAATTTCAAATAGTGACTGACTTTTTGGCTTTTGAATTAGTTACTTTTACTAATAAATTAGTAAAAGTTACAATTTACTAGTTAAATTTTTCTAATTCAAAAGCAAAAAATAAGTCACTATTTTAAATTAGTAAATTTTTTCATTAATTTAAGTGAAAAACTAATTATTATTTTAAAAATAATAATAAACTAATATTTTTTAGAAAAAACCTACTAGTTAATAGTTACCTATTAGTTATTCTCTATACTAATATTAGTTATTTTCTATTAATAATTAGTTTTTTTACCAACAATTAGTTTTTTTACTAACAATTAGTTTTTCTAAATAATTATTAGCTTTTACAAAAAATTAATTATCTTTTAATAATAATTAGTTACATTTGAATAAAAATTAGCTATTTCCTATTAATAATTAGTTATTTTGTTTAAGTAATAATTAGTTAATTTACTAACAATTAGTTGTTTTTCTATTAATTTTCTTATTTGTCGATAATAATTCGTTATTTTATATAAATAATTTCGTACCTTTACAAATAATTCGTTATTTATTACTAATATTTAGTTGTTCTCTACTAAAATTAGTTATTTTTAATAAATAATTAGTTTTTTTAAAGATAATTATTTTTTTGAAATAGTAATGCATTTTTTACAAGTAATTAAAAATCTTCTAATAATAATTAGTTGCTTTATAACAATAATTAGCTATTTCTTAATAATAATTAGTTATTTTTTATAATAATTAGATATTTTTAATAATAATTAGTTATTTTTTAATAATAATTAGTTATTTCTTACTAATAATTACCTTTTTTCTAACAGCTACTTTTTATAAATAATGATTACTTTATTTACTGAGAAAATTATTTTTAGATAATAATTTCTTGTTTTGTACTAAAGTTTAAAAAAATTTTACATTTTCTTAAAAAATAATTAGTTATTTTTTATTAATAATTAGTAGTTTCTCAATTAGTTATTTTCTATTAATAATTAGTTTTATATCAGTACTAAATTATTTTTCATTAATAATCAATTATTTTTTAAGAATAATTTGTTATTGCTTACTAATAAATAGCTTTTTTACTAATAGTTATTTTTTTAATAATAATTCCTTATTTTATACTAATAATTCAGTTTTTTTTTAACAGATAATTACTTTCTATTAATAATTAGTTTTTTTTATCAGCATTAAATTATTTTTCAAGAATAATTAGTTATTGCTTACTAATAATTAGCTTTTTTACTAATGCTATTTTTTTAATTATACCTAATTAGTTTTTTTATACTAATAATTCAATTTTTTTACAAATAATTATTTTCTATTAATAATTAGTTTTTTATCAGTATTAAATTATTTTTCAATAATAATTAATTATTTCTTAAGAATAATTAGTTATTGTTTACTAATAATTAACTTTTTTACTAATAGTTATTTTTTTTAATAATAATTCCTTGTTTTACACTAATGATTTAGTTAATTTAACAAATAATTAGTTAGTTTTTACTGATAATTAGTTGTTCTCTATTAATATTAGTTATTGTCCATTAACAATTAGTTTTTTGTAATAATTAGTTATTTTTTATTGATAATTAGTTGTTCTCTATTAATATTAGTTATTGTCCATTAATAATTAGTTTTTTCTAATAATTAGTTATTTTTTATTAATATTTAGTTTTTTTACTAATTACTAAAGCAAAAAGTCGGCCAATATTTCACTTACAATTAGTTATTTTTAACCAATGAAAAATAATAAACTTATTCGGGTTTTCAAATTTTTCTGTCAAAAATAATTGATCAAAAATAATGTACAACTTTTTTATAAACAAAAAAATACTGAAAATTTGATTAGAAATGAGATTTGTTTTCAAACTTGTTGATGTTGTGAACATCATAAACGTGTATATAAAGCAAAAAGAGTAAAAAAAAATTGTTAACTTCTAGGTATTGTCAAAAACTTTTTTTTTAGTAATAATTAATTAATTAATTAATTAATAATAATTAATAAAAAAAAAAAACCTCGTCCCTTTTTGGAGCCGTTTATCTAATGAGTAAAAATTTTTTAAAAAAATATAAAATTTACTGCACATTCTGTTTTGTTTTTACTTTTTAGCCCATCAGTCGGATTTTTTTCCCCAACAAAAATATTAAAAACGAAAATAAAATACAATACCTTGCAGCTTTTTCTCCGTTTCCCAAAATTTTTGCAGCTCTGTAAAGTATTTATCCAAGATAAAGACCTTCGAGAGACCTAAAGTGGACATTTCAGAATCTCGAGGTTCTGTGTTGCCCGTAATTTTCCAAAAAAAAACAAAACTCCTCTCCCTCTCCTTTTATCCCTTTTCACTTTTGTGCACCAGGAAATTCCGAATTTTGTGCAGCCTCACCACACTCGTCGCCGCACTCACACATTTTCCTTTTTATATTCCAAAAAAAAAAACCCAAAGAATATACCTATAATCTCAAAATTATTTTGTCAACAATCTTGACTCTAAACAAAAAACATTTCACTTTGAAAAAAAACAAATTTTTTCAGTCACCACATAAAACTTCACGTCTATTTCCTCTCGGTTGGAAAAATTCCACCCTTGATGAACTCTCCTTAACGAATGGTTTTTAAAATTTTTCCCCACAAGTCTCACTTAATTACAGTATTTTTGTTTCATAAACGAAACATAAAGAGAAGATCACTTTTTGCTTTATCAATTTCCTCCGAATTGAAAAGAGGAACACTTGATTAAAAGTTGGGAATAAGAGAAATTTTCTTAATGAAGGATTTGTTTTTTTTTAAATTTACCGAGGAAAGCTTGGATCGAGAATGTGTATATAAATAAAATAACGTGGTGAGCACGGTTAGCAGCGTTCAACTGGGCGTCATTGTTGGTTGGAACCCGCAACCGAGCTGGGGTCCTATCTCTTCTAAGGTGTATTCGAGATAACTCTCTAGTCGAGTCAGGTAGCATAGGTCCCGGTCAAAAGGCCCAGCAGGACACTCTCTGAAGTTAGCTGGAACGCTACCCGGAGGCGCGCGGATCAGGCCCATGGGCCTCTCGAGAGTTAGATTAAAGAGAGCGAGGGAGAGAGAGAGAGGGGGGGGGACTCGACTGGACCACCACTCACGGATGCTGTGGAAAAATGCTCAAGACACTCCACAGGTATCTCCACTTCAGCAACATTTGCTTGCATTTGCTGAACCGAACCCGGTGTGTTTTGCTCGGTAACTTCGCCAACTACTGATGATAATAATTTTGTCCCTTTAAAATTTAAATCTTAATTTCACCAAATATTTCAGTGCGAAGAACTAATTTTAATTTTAATCACTTTATTTCAGTTTTATCAATAATAAAATAATACAATAATTTTTGTACCCTTCATTTTTTATTTATAATCTTTAATTTTTTTTCCATTTGTACCTTATGATTAGGTATTAATTTTCTTATTTTTGTACCTTGTAAATTTTAACCTTTTTTTTTGTTTCTTGTGAACTTATCTTCTTCTATTTACATTTTATGAACTTTAATATTATTCTCTTTAAATGTGAATTAGCTAAAAATTACTAATTCGATAGTTAAAACTCAGTTGCGGATTCAATTTGCAATATTTTTTTACTAATTAAAAAATTATAATAATGACTAATTAACAGCTAAATTTATGTTTATATTGTGTTAAAATATTATTAAAATTTTTGGTAACATAAATCAATTAGTTAAATTCGGCTATTTTCGCAGTTATTTATTTACTAATAATTAGTTATTTATTTACTAATAATTATAACTAATAATTCTTGAAAAAATGTAATTAAAATTTTCTAAAAATAATTGTATTTCCGAAAATAATTTTAAACAATCGAAACGTTTAAAAATTTTGTCAAATTTCATTGAAATAAATTTTATATTTTTATGAATTTCATTTCTTTACTTTTAAAAATTATTTTGAAATATAATCGTATTTTTTAAGAATTCTAATTGCAAATTTGGAAAATAACTGAATTTTAAAAAAATTTGGAATAAACTTATTACCAGTAGTGTTTTTCTTTTAGTAAATTCGATGGTTTGAAGTTAGTGAAATTTTACTAAAAAAATTAGTAGAATTTTACTAATCAAAAAGTTAAATTAAATCATCAAAATCAAAAGTCATTCATGGAAATTACTAACTTAGTGAAATTTTACTATTTGCTAGTAGAATTCTACTACAAACATAATTCAGATTGATAAAGTAATTTTCATTTTTTTTTTTGTAAATTTTCTCACGATACAAATTTTAGTTTATCTACATACTTCAATAAACTAAAATATATACCGGTGAAATTATTCACTTTAATTTATTGTAGAAATTTGATATTTAAAATAATAACAAAATCTATCAATTTTATTTATAATGAAACCTCGTAAAATTTATAACCAAATAATTTATTGGTCGATCATAAAAAGCATTGCCATTTGAGTAATTTCCAATACCTAATTTATGTTTCATCAATATATATTTGTATACATATATAAAATAATTAATCTATAGAATTAAAGAACTGCCTCAATTCAGACATAAATTATAATTTATTCGAAGCGGTTAATTCTATACACGTGTGGGTAAAGTTCACTATGTTTACATGATCAACGATTGAGAAAAAAATTACAGTCTCTTTATATCTAAAATCGTGTATGTTTTAACTTTTACCATAGAATTAAAATTCAATAATTCAAAAAGTAATATGTAGGGGAACATAGTCTAGGTCGGCCACCTTTTTGACTTTTGTTTATAACTTTTTTTTAAAAATGAATTTGGACAATTGAAGTATATGGTTGGAAAGTCCTGTTTAATAGGAACATTTTTTCTGTACAAAGTAAATTGACAAGTTTAAAAATGAAAAAGTTATAAAGATTTAAAAAAAAAAAAATTTGTAGTCCAGGTTGGCCATTACAGTCAAGGTCGGCCATGTTTAAAATTCAAAGGGCATTAATCGTTAAAAAATAAAATAACATGTTTGGAGTTACGGAAAATTGATTCTTTATTGTTTACAGTTTGTAACTTAATGAAATAACAAAATAATAACAATAAACAATATAAAAAAATAAATATAAATAAAAAAAAATTTTGCACTAAAATATTAATAAAATTAAATAAAAATATTAATAAGATGATCAATTATATTATGAGTTATACAGAATTGCAGTTTTTGCAAATGAAGTAGCTCGTCCTCATCTTTGCGCATTTTAAACACATAGTGGCCGACCTTGACAGTAAGTAACATTACCGAATTGTTGTAACCATAAAGAAATACGTTTCGGGATTCGATTTTTTACTTTGTTTTCCTTTCAACCATGAGTCCCACAAATTTTCTGCATACTTGCCTTGACGATTCAATTTGTTTTTTATCTTTTATTAATGGTTTTTCACATTATGCACAAAACTTTTTTTGAGCTTTTTTTGTACCGACGTCACAGAAAACACAATTTTCGATCCTCCGAAAATGTAATTGAACAAAAAGTTAGGTTTCACTAAGACAAGCTTCGACAAAAATGCGCGTAGGTGGCGCTAGTGAACTTGACAAAAAAACGCGAGTGGCCTACCTAGACAGTAGGCCAACCTTGACTACATTCCCCTATGTAATAATATAATAATTTTCTAAATTTGAATTAGTAAAAAAATTTACTAATAAGTTTTTCATTGATTTTTTGTTTCTGCATTAGTAAATTTTACTAATAAATAGTAATTTCTACAAATTTATTATTAATTCGGTAGTCATTCATTTTTTGCTTTGGAATTTGTCATAACTATAAAACATAAACATATCGATAACTCCGAGTCTTAGACTTGGAGTGATCGATTTCTTTATGTTTTATAATAAAATAATGGCCCAGTGATAAAATCATTATTATTTTATATTATAAAAATATTGTACTTCTTCAAAATTATTTTCATCATTTCAATTCAATTATTATTTTCAAGAATTTTTAACTAAAATTCTTCTTTAAATCGATTATTTTTAATAATTTTTGAAAAAGTTCTTTGAGAATTTTCAAATTAATTTCTTTATAATTCAATTTTACAAAATTTCAATTATTCGGAAATTCTTCAATTAATTATAATTTTATTAGAAAATAGAAACTTTAAATAATTTTTAAAAAATCCTCAATTAAACTTATTCAAAAAAATTAATTCCACAGAATTGTTAGTTAAAAATTTAAAAGATTCAGATTTTCGAGGATTTTAATTTGAAACCTTTTCAAAATTCAATTATTTCTAAAAAATTCATGCTATAATGCTTTTAATATTCAATTATAATCTAAAATTTTAACTGAAATTCATTTTTAAATGAATTTTTATTAGAAAGTTCAACTAGAATTCAATTATGTATTTAAATACAAACAAGACAATTTATTGAATAATTAAATGTTTCTTAAAATTTATTACTCATAAAGAATTTTATTAACAAATTTTTATAATCATTTAATTCATTTGACGAAATTTAATGAAATTTTTAAGAATATTTACATTTTTCGAGAAACTGATTAAAATTATATTAAAGTAATTGAAATTCTACGATGAGTTTTATTATTTATGAAAAAAATTTAATTTCTAAAAAGAATTTTATTAATTACGGAAATAATTGAATCCCTGTAAAAATTTTATTATTTATGAAAATAATTAAATAATTGCGAAGAAATTTAAAAAAATTTGCAAATAATTGAATTGCTGTGAATTTTGTATTATTTTATGAAAATAATTAAATGTTTCCATAGAATTTTATTAGAATTTTTTTAAATAATTGAATTATTTAATAAATTTTATTAAAATAGTATAGACAATTGAAAATCATAGAATTGTGGAAAATTTTTGAAAATAATTGAATTTTCCCAAGAATTGTATTAAAATTTTTGAAAATAATTGGATTTCAAAGAAGAATTTAATTATTTCTAAAGATAATTGAAATTTTGACTAGTAGGAATTTTTATTATTTTTTAACATAGTTGAATTTCTGCGAAGAATTTTATTATTTATGAAAATAATTGATTTTTTTCGAAAAATTGTATTAAAATTTTTTTTTAATTATTGAATTTAAATCCATTTGTTTACAATTCAATTTTTCAAAATTTCGATTATTTTGAAAATCTTCAATTATAAATACATTCTATTAGAAAATAAAAAAATTTAAATGATTTTAAAAAAATTTAATTGAACTTTTTCAAAAAAATTAATTCTGCAAATTTGTTAGTTAAAAATATGAAAAGTATAGATTATCAAAATTCAATTATTTCTAAAAATTCACGCTATAAATATACTTTTAATATTCAATAATTAGTGTCTAAAGTTGTAACTGAAATTCATTTTTAAATCAATTTATATGAAATAAATCTACGAGAATTCAATCATTAAAATACAAAAATAAATAATTTATTGAATAATTGAATTTTTTTTAAATAGATCTTTTCTAAAGAATGTTATTGAACAAATTTTTAAATAATTGAATTCTTTTGACGAAATTTAATTAAATTTTTAAGAATAATTACATTTTTCGAGGAATTTTATTAAAATTGTTTCAAAAATAATTGAAATTCTGCGATGAGTTTTATTATTTATGAAAATAATTCAATTCCTGAGAAGAGTTTTATTATTTATAAAAATAATCAATTATTGCGAAGAAATTTATAAAAAAAGTTGTAAATAATTGAATTCATGTGAAATTTTTATTATTTTATGAAAACAATTAAATGTTTGCGTAGAATTTTATTAGATTTTTTTTTAAATAATTGAATTCTTTTGAAAAATTTTATTAAAATAGTAGATATTGAAAATCATTAAAATGAGGAAAATTTTTGAAAACAATTGAATTTTCTCAAGAACTGTATTAAAATTTTTTAAAATAATTAAATTTCGGAGAAGAATTTTATTATTAATAAAGATAATTGAAATTTTGACAAGGATTTTAAAAATTTTTTTAACATAATTGAATCTCTGAGAAGAATTTTATT